TGTAGGTAAGAAACCTATCAGCAATTCTTGAAGGGCAATGGCGAGCGGTGGACGAATGGTGGAGATGGGAATGGATACCGCTCACGCAGTTATTTTCCGCCGTAAGTTTAAGAAAAATCATGTATATGTCTATATGATTCAAAAGTTTCAAGTATGTATGTTTAAAAAGTATACGTACATATGTATGTTAAGAAAACCAAGGTTGTAGCTAACAACCCTAGTTTTGAGTATTTAAGTTTTAGAATGTTACAGTACATGCAACAAATAAATGAATTTTAAACATAACGATTTAAATGAGTAATTTTAGAAGGACTTTAAGATGTACTTGAATTTAAGATTTCTCACGAAATCCGTTTTAAAGTCAAATGAGATGGCCGATTAAAATGACTAGTTTTAAAAAAGCTTTTAAAGAGTATTTGAAACAAGAGTTCAAATGCTATTCCATTTGAAGGATATTCCTAAAAGGTTTTATCTTAACTAAAATTAAGAAAAGCTTTAAGAAATTTAGTGATTCACTTATTTGAAATTATTGTTACAAATTATGAAAGTATTCCTTCTTATATATAAAAAAAAAAAATGTTCTGCATATTTTAAGAAACCCCAGTAAGTACAAGTTAAAGTTTAAGTTACAGTGGCGGCCTCATAGGAGGGGCGTCACACGCGGCGAGCATTTTTTAAAAATTATAAAAAAAAAATAATTTCGGTTTTTTGCGACGACTTTTTTAGACTTGTTGTCACTAAAAAATAAGAGTATTTGCGACGACAATTTGAAATGTCGTTGCAAAAAATGATCATATGAAGAGAATTTTACAACGACGTATTAGCGACGCCTATCGTCGCAAATACAGAGTGTCGTCGCAAATGTATTTGCGACGACACTATGTCGTCGTAAAAAACATTTTTGCGACCAATTTTTTGCGCCGAGAAAGTTGTGACGACTAGTTGTCGCAAAAAAGTTTATTTGCGACGACATTCGGGTTTTTGCGACGACTTTTTGTCGTCGTAAAAACCCCTTTTTCTTGTAGTGTGTGTTGAGAAACTCATTAGAACGCCCACTCGTTCGAGTTCACGTTAATCCAGAGATACATTGAGAAAGAACCGTGATGTTCTTAAAATTTAAGAGCTCAAGACGGTATTGGAGGAGTTCAAGATTAACGTCTTAATCGAGTAACGGCATAATTAAAAGACATCTTCAATTACTATTAGCAAAAAATAAGTGTATGTATAGGGACAAAAATTGACTTATTAATTAGGCATAATTGGCTGGGTGTTTTCACACGTCCTATTTTAAAGGATTAAATCGGTGTTGTTAGTTTTAGATTTTTTTAATTTATGTCCTTTTATTTTATTTTTTATTTTGCTAAACTACGCTTAAAAAAATATTCATGTTGTACATTTGACGACAGACTAACCAATCACGCAATTAGTTAAAACGTTAAGTTAGTAAAACTTCGAAAAGTAAATGGTGGGAGTCCGGGAGACACACATCATGTGAGACTCAGATATATCCTCCATAATTATTGGATCTAGGTTTTCTATTCAATTTTTAGTGTCTGACCAATCAAATTATATCACATCATCTCATAATAAACACAAAAGAGTTAGTGAAAAAGTAGTTTAAAATTTTTTATAAAACATAACATGATATGATTGGTTAAACATCGATTAGGACACTAATGGTAAGTTTGGTTCATGTGCTCAAGTCAATGAACTTGATTTATTGATGAGAAATTTGTGAGAGAACCATTGGCGGAAATTCTTTTGATTTAAATTTTTTGTGAGAAAAAAATGGTATAACAAAATCAGAATCATAAATTTAACTACATCAATTAAGCAGATATCAAAATTAGACAGAGGTTATGAGTCCCTAATTATTAGTGAAAGAAGTTAAAAACCATTAAATGAAAAAGCATTAGGGGTCTGGTAACCTAATTAAGTTATTTCAGAAAAAAAGGAAAAAAACTAAATTAAGTTAACTAATCATTGGCCTCCAATAAAATGTTTATACACAGGGATTAAAAAAAGAAAAAGATTCTTCTTTTGTGTAACGAAATTCCTGTGAGAAAAAAACAAAAGCAAAAGATAGAAAAGGCACTGGTCAACATCGTTCCAATCAAGTAAAGACAAGAAATTGTTATTTATTCGAATGTGGGTGGAAAACCCAATAGGATGTCTCATACATGAAAGTTGGGAAATAGTAAAAATAGGTCAATATGAAAAGCTTAAGAAAGTATATAGGTTAATTTTTAATTATAAAAATTAATAAGTTATAATTTTATCAAGTTATGGTTCATAACTAAATAAATTATGGATAAACTTGTCAAGTTATGGTTCATAACCAGACAAATTATGGATAATTATAGACAATAACTTGTCAACTTATGATTCATAACTAGACAAGTTATGGACGAAAATAATAATTTAGCATATTTATTAACTTATGTAAACTATTAGCCTATTAATTTTAATTCACCTCAAGTCTTGACCTATTTTCTTCTTTCTCCCATGAAAGTTAACCTTATCAAAAGCCCAATTTCTGATCAGAAGAACAAAGGAAGCAAGAGAAAAGAAGAGATGAGTATTCATATGAAATTTGCATCGATAATTATAGTGGGACTCTTTTGCACTCCTTATACTATGGTCAGAAGCACCCCAGATACAAATATTACTAATGTTCTGTGCAACTCAGGCGAGTACACGGCCGGCGATCCTTTTGCGACCAGTCTTGCTTATACTCTCGACGAATTACAGACTACCACTCTAAAGCGTCAAAACTATGATTTCTACAATATTTCTCCTTACCCTAATGCTTTTGCATATGGGCATGGTTCTTGTAACAAAAATCTCACGAGTTCGGACTGTGGTGTGTGTCTCGGTGCTGCGAAGACGGCCATGGGAGAATCATGTCCAAGCAGGATTGGTGCTCGAGCCGTGCTTTATGATTGTTCAATTAGGTATGAGCAATACCCATTTACTGATTAAGAAACTGGAGAGGGAAAAATAATGATTCAAATTGAGCTTGTTATGTATCACTTAGTTTTATCTGTATGTTAACTGTATTATTGATTGCCCATTAACTAAATTAGCTTTTCCCTGTAATGTTTCTCCACTTTTTTAATCTAGTTTTGGCATTTTGGTGAGAGCATACTAATGCTTGCTTGGAAATATTGATTTCAATCCCATGATTGTGAATGATCGGAAGAATTACTGTTAAAATTAGAGCGAATGAGAGTAAGAGGGTTTGGTTATGATCTAAAGATTCCTATACATGATCACTGAAAAAAGTGGCGAGAAAAAATTTATATGGGGATTGCAGGGCTTGAACTACACGGAAATTTTCTTTATTTTCATCAAACATTTCGCGTCCACTTGTTTATTCATTCATAACGTTTAGGTCCAACTCTGTACTTCCGAAATGATGCAAAAGATGTGATTATGTCCCCTGTTTCTACTATGTCCATTGGGTATATGAGTATTGTCTTTTTGGTCTATCCCAAGGCATAAAATCGTCAGTACTCTTGAAAAATTTTGAAATACATGTAATAAGAGTTATGACTTCTTATTCACTCTACGACCGACATAAACAATGTCCTAGAATTTAGTATGAAAATCTATAACTCATTGTAAAGAAAATCTGTTGGAATTCATTTATCAAAGGAAACACCGTATTCAACAATCTGCTATTCAGGCATGATCCACAACAAAATCCTCAAATTCCTAGCATACATAATAGCTTACAGGTCTCTTTTGATTACAAAATGTAAGAAGAAGCTTACATATGCATGCCAAGAGTCATCGAGATTTAGTTTCTCCAAGATTCTGACACAAGGAAACTCAATGATGTATAGTTACAAAATTACGCATTAGACAGTTCCTGCTTGAGGACGAGCGCGTAAAGAAGCTCATTCCATGAATCAGGCACACCGGGAAGGCACCAGTGGATGCAGTCTTGGCTTTTCTGTAACGCTTTCTGTAACGCTGCCGTCGCATTATCAACCTCTCTATGGTACATGGATGGATGGCCATCCTGTCTCATTGATGTCATGTGTGTCACATTCAACAAGCGCAACACATTCAGATGCTGTGATAACACATCCATGGCTATCATCGCATGAGGGTAAGACGCGCCATGAATTCCCAAGTCAGGTAGAACTTCCGAGTGACAGGTACCACCGGTGTTCCAAGCTCCGCGTCTGTTCCATCCATATATAGTCCTTAATCTATGACTATGAATTGTGGCGGGAAGGTACAAGCGTATATATATAATGTTTTCGTCACAAAAGTAACAAGGGAAAAAGAATTCAAACCTGAAATGATCTGGAGAAAAAGTTCTGAAAAATACGCGAGTCTTGTCCTTGATAACTTGAGTATTAACATAATCAACCACTGCCTCAATCGCTCTCCTGTATGCAGCTTCAATATTCATATTCATCTTTATTTCCTCCCCATCTTGGAAGTAGCGACCCCTAACACATTGTTGACAAGTTTTATATACAAGTACGAGGAATATAACGACACTTAATATAAGGAATATAACGACACATACTTCTTTCTTTTCTACTAATAAAAGAATGAAAACTCACATGTCAACATAGATTATTATTAGCGTCAACAAACAGATTACATAAACTCACATTGCTATCGTCTTTTCGTAAGTCCACCAGTGGCCAGAGCTTATGATAACCTGGTCTGCGCCTTTCCATAGGCTGTAACTCAAGGACACGACATCTAGTCTCAGAAGCAACTTCACCTCGGGAGGAGCGCCAGCCGGAGGTTGTGCCCTAGAGACTAGGTAGGGGCTTCTGTAGAATTCAAGAGTGAAGTTGAAGTCCTCAAACTTGAAAACCAAAGACCCTGCTCGCCTGGTGATATGTTTCCCCTTCACCTCGTAGATTGAAGAAGACTTGTTAGAAACGGCAGTGGAGAGCATGCAAATCAGAGATTCCCACTGGTTCCTTGCCAATGAGTCTCCAACAAATGCAACACGCTTATTCCGCAACTTTTCCAACATCGTCCCTGCATCAAATCTTTTTCCACGTGCACAATTTTAAGAGATCAAACACGCTATAAGATTGGTATTACGTAATTCTAAACCGTCAGACCTCATTAGAACCACTGAAATAAGAAGGAACACAAAGACATGAAGAAAAAAAGGGACACCTGGGCAACTTGCAATATTTTGGTTGCCAACGCCACTTGGTATAGAAATCATTAGGCCTTCCATGCTGAGAACAACTGAAACCTCCTTCTATGATTGTGCAATCTTGGGGTTTATACAATGGATAGCTCTCATCCCAAACCCAACTGCCATCAAATATGTCACACTCACCACCACCTTCTTCAAGAAATCCAACCCGTTCGTTCCCACAAGTTTGCAAAAGTTCCGAAGGACGTGACACCGTTGACGATGATGAGTCATTTACTCCTGCCCAACCTACCAAATGAGGGAAGTTGATTCTGTTGACGGCCACTTCGAAGTTCAAGTAGAAGAAGGTGGTAACAAAGAGAAGAGTGACGAAGAAGAAGAAGCCAACACTCGCCAGAGACGGCTCGAGAAAGTTGGAGCGCTTGCATTGCTTCAAATCCGAGTTGGAACTCGTCATTGTGGTGTTGTCCGATCCCATTATTCTTTAATGTCTTCTGTTTTGTGCATTTTTGGAAGAAAAAAAAAAGAAGATGAGCACATTAATGGCTAAAAACAAAGTTATGTGAATTGTAATTTTTGGTGGAGAAAGTAGAAAGGGAACTAGGAGAAAAACGTGACAAACTAGAGAATAGATGAAACCATTCAATTTGAAACGTAATTTTTTTTTTTTTTTTTTTTTTTTTTTTTATTAAATTCACTTCTGTGGTGAGTATAAAACGGAATTTGATGGATTGTGATTTATGAACCATGCTATTGTATATGTAAATGAAACAAGGATGTGAATAGGCACATTAAAATTGACTTGTAGGACACAAAATTGTTGGTTTTTCTCTATGCTTAAAAAGGATTAAGACCATTGTGAATGACAAAAAAAATCATTTTAATTTTAAAAGTATAGGCCAACAGGGAAAAAGAAATCCCTGGCCGAAGAAGAAAGGCAAAAAGGATTTGATCAATTAGGAGACCTCACAATCTTTTTCCACATTAATTGGAAGCGATAGACCGAAAATCATAATAAATTAAAACACAAATTATTACATGTTGGAAAAAATATATATATATATATATATAATAAAACAGTAATAAACAAATTTTTTGCAGTGACTAAGAAAGGCAAAATATGGAGTTCGTGCAAAATCGCCATGCATGAGTCAACAAATTCCGTTTTAGACCCACCGTGGTGGTTTAACTGAAAACAAGTTATTGAAGATAGACGTCTCTAATTAATTTATGAAAGCTTTCATTTTCTAAGTGTTAAATCATATTTCATCCTTCTCATCGTGCTTCCAATCTCTCTCTCCGCCTAAAAAAGCCAACTAATGCAAAATCATTTTTATTGTATAACCTTCAAAGGCTTTTGAATACATGAAAAATAAAGCATTAAAAAAAAAAAAAGAGTAGAACTCTGTCGGGCTTGGGTTCGGAAGGTTGGCACGTGGTGGCGTTGGCCAAACATGGTTTGACTTTTTTTTAACTGTACACTCCAAAAATCAATTAAAAAAGAAAAGTATAACTTCTTGAGCCTTCTTCTAGAGTCCATTAGTTTTTCGATTTCGGTTTTCTGTTCAATAGCAGTTGCTTATTGATTTTTTTTTCCCCCTGTTGTAAACAGAACTTGTTCATATGTTTATCATGTGATAATTTCATGTTTGATCCATCAAGTCAAGTGGTGTACGAGAAAAACTGGAATTTGGCCGATTTATGTTTTTCCTTTTCCCAATTTTGGCTGACCTTTCAATAGGATACAGAGAGATGATGCATATATGTAGTCTGTTCAGATTCTATTGTTTGGTTGATATCGTTTAAAAACATCATTCTTCGAAAAGAAAAAACATACGAACAGAACAAAAAACTTTTAATGAACAAGAATATTTGTACCTGAAATTCAAGAACTTCACCCACATCTGCACTTGAGCAGCTTAATCCCCGATACTTTTTAGGACGGGTAAAAAAAATCTGAAAAACAGAGTGCCCAATTGATGGAAATATATGAAGCGAGGGTAAACATTCAGACGAAGTCAAGTGGAAGAAAATTTTGATACCTTAGAGTAAGCATCAAGTTAATGGTGATCATTGTCATTTTTTTTGGTTACTTCTTATGAGGATTGAGTTTTTGTCAAACTTTGAAAAAATCAACGAAAGAGATTCAATTATTAACTTGCATGATTAGTCACTTCAGATTTTGTTTTTTTTTTTTTTTTAAAGACTAGCATGATTAGTCACCAGCTTCAAGCTCAAATTATTCAGAGTGGTTATGTTTGGTAACAATGAAAGTGAATTTTACTTAACCAAGCTAATTTTGTCATGTGCAGTTCTGTATCTGAATTCTTGTAAAGAGTAATCCAAAGTTTCTATCGTAGAAGTAAATTGCTTTGGAATTTGGATTACTATCTTAGGAGTAAATTGATAGTAATTTTTACAATTTATGTTTAATTCTTTGGCCACCTGGACGAGATGCATTATTGCTAAGTAAAACTTTTTTTTATCCCTAATTTGTGTGGTGGACATCCAATCTTTGGATTCTTCATTTTACAGGTGGTTTTTTAATTTTTTGATATGTTTAATTATTTATTGTGTTTATATGGTCGTCTTGTTGTGTGGCTGTTTTTTTAAGAATTTTTTAATGTTTTTTTATACCATAAATAATTAATTAGGTATCCCCTAATCTTTGATGGAATAATTAATTGAAACTTAAAAGATAAATTAATTATCTCCATACTTATTTACTTATTTTTTTATGGGGATGTGGTGGTGAACCCCAATCTTTGTTTGAATAATTAATTGAAGCTTATAAAAGTAGCTTTAGCTTGTTAGATTTACCTGGTAAATAAAGTATTTACCCAATATAGGATTACTTAGGTCGCATTTTATTTTGTGTTGCGTTTTATCAGGTCAATAAATTATTTACAAGGAAAATACTGGATTTACCAACATTACAAGTTTTTAACTTGTACACAAAGTATTCGGATTTACTTCTGTTGTTTTGCAGTGTGTTTTCATCTAGTAAATTGATAATTTAGAGGTAAATATTTTGGATTTACGAACACTATACTTGACTTTAAGTAGCAAATAAAGTATTTATTAGGGAAATAAAGGATCTACTTCCGTTACATTTTGTTTTGATGAACTTATAGCATGTTTACTTACGCGTAATCAGAATGAGCATGAATCGGAGTGGGCAGGATTTAGAGTGAAGAATCGGAGTTAGAATAAGCTGTTTACTTAGTGATAGGATTCGGAATTGGAGTCATTTCAAATCTCATTCATACGTTCACTTACACTCAGAATCGGAATAAAAAAGTGTAAAAGTACTAATATACCCTTTAAATCAATTTGATATTTTCAATTTAAAAAATATAGTGTACTTATTATATTAAAATTAATCATAATTAAAATATTTAGTGTAATAATTGGGTACTAAAATAATAAATATAAATTGTACAACTATTTAAAATATAAAAATAAATTTTTAAAAAATTTAAATAAAATAAATAAATAAAATAGTGTTAACAAATAAAATATATTATTAATTTATTAAAAAATAAAGTACATATTTATTATATTAAAGTTAACATGCTAATATTATAATATTAGGCAAATAAAATAATAAATATATGTTGCATTTATTATTTTTTGAATTTTATTTTTAATTGTGTATTTATAAGTAAATCCTATTCCTCAATTCCAATGGGGGCATGGGAGTGCCAATTTCATTCCTCAATTCCAAATTTGAGTGGGACCCACCAATCTCACTCTCATTTCAAGATAAAAAAAAGTAAGTAAACATGATATTTGACTCTCATTTTTCACTCTCATTCTTCAATCCTGGTAAGTAAACTAAAGTCATGTGCTTTTGTGTCTTACTACAGCAACAATGAGTTAGAGAGGGACATACAATGGTACCATGTAACGTCTGGAGGTTCCTGACGTGGTGATGAACATATATTGCCAACAACCGGTAAGCGCGGCCGAACGGAGGCTAAAGAAGAAAATGATTCCTTTGGCCTCACGAAGAAAATGATTCCTTTTGCCTGTGAGGCCAAGCACGTCGCGAGGTGTGGCAACTGCAAACGATAAGGCACAACCGAATGCAAGAACTCGGCCGGCCCCAATTGCATGGATGCATCGTACTCGAAGAAGATGAAGTCATGTTGCTAGGCTCTTAATGATATAATCAGTGAACAAGGAATTCATTTTTGTTTCTTCACTTCAACATGAGCACAGAGACCAAATCGCCAAATCTAATGGAAGAAATCAGTGGGTGCATTTGGTTCATAGATTAAAACTATGTGATTAGAATAATTTTTTATTTACGTGTATTTTTTGTGAGAGAAAATACTGTAACGAACCACGAACCATGATTCGAATCAGGACGAATCCATCTACCAAATATCACAATCTCCTTGCTAGAACGTACAACTTCTCTGCTTCTCCAGTAATGAACATTTGTAGGATGGCAAATTTGTTTGGAAATTTATTCTCTTGGTAATGAATGACAGTAAGTCCCAATTTTTACTCGTGGTCAAGGGAATCAAGAGACAACATTTATTATTTAAACAAAAAATTGGAATCATTATTAGTTTACATTCGAAGAGTACACGCATAGAGAGCTTCATCGGTACTTCAGCAAACAATTTGATTCATTATTTTCTTAAGGAAAAAAGTATGTATATATACATATATCCACAAGAAAATGCTCTTACTGATGCACATGTCTACAATTGATTCATCGTCTTCGTTTATTCAATCATAACCTTCAAGAACAAAAGAGGAAGAAACCTCGAATTCTGTGTAAAACCAATAGCAGCAGAGTATACATTAGATAAGACCACCTTTAATTCCTTTTTTTCTTCACAAAATGGTACAAGAGCTATTCAAACTTTAATTTTTCCGTTTTTACAAAATGAAAAAAAAAAAAAACAAATAAATCTGTTCTAAACATCAAGTTTTGTGTAAATAACACTTTAAATCACGGTTCCTATAACCAACCATTCTGTGTCCACCATTTCTCATGAAGCCACCCTGATTTCTCTCTCATTCACACATCTTTTGTTCGTGCCAGAAATTTAAATTATCTTCTCTGCATTACCCTTGTGAGGCGTAATTTCCCACATACACAAAAAGATAAATACTCGCTGCAATGGAGAAACATCCACCTTCTGGCTTCCAGCAAAATATTTCGATCAAAATCACGAGAGCAGAAGCACCAACAGCACGTTGGTTTATAATAGTATATCACGTAGGTGTGATCGGATTCGGATTCGGATTCAGCAAACCTACATCACAATGGAGACCCACTAGGACTTCTCGCATTTCCTTCACGAATTAATTCTTTCTTGAGGAAGACCACGTAAAGAAGCTCATTCCATATATCGGGCACACCAGGAAGGCACCAGTGGCTGCAGTCTTGATGGCGGAAAGACGCTGGCCCATTCCTCGGTCCCAGATAGTATATTGATGGGTGGCCATCTTTTCTTCTTGATGTCATGTCCGTTATGTTCAACACATCCAATTTCCTCAAATGAGACTCGTTCGAGTGCTCAGCTAATACTTCAAGAAAGGTATCAAAATGGGGTTCGGATAAAACAGGCACTGGATCTAAGTTAGGTAGAGTCTCCATGTGACAACCACCTCCGGTATTCCAATCACCATCTCTGTAACGTCAAACAGTCGAAACACTTTGTTAGTGGAGAAACAAACATTGCATTATAGGTGGAATTGAACACATGAAAGTAAACAAAAGAAACCTGAAATGAACCGGGGAATAGGTTCGGAAGAAGACAGTAGTCTTGTTCATGTCCACTTTGTTACCAATCCAGTGAATGACTGACTCGATTGATTTCTTGTATCCAGTTTCAACACTCATATCCTTCTTCACCTTCTTCCCTTCTTGAAAGTAACAGCCCCTAACCAAAGATAAAATAAAATCCAGAGTAATTATATGACCCCAGAAAACAAATGCCCAGTTTTACGCCCCTGCATTTTCACTATTTCTCACATATAATAGGCCAAGCACCAGCTTAGTCAATATCACAAAGTTTACAAATGTAATCTAATTCCATATTCATTTTGTCCAGATAACTAAATCAAAAAGACTATCAAGCACTTCTTGGAACAGGTAAGACACAAAATGAAAGGAATTGACAGATGGATTGAACGTACACTTTTATAGTCTTCTCGTAAGTCCACCAATGACCAGTGTTGAGAATCAATACATCCGCGTCCCTCCAATGAACCGAACTCCAGTCCATTTGATCCACTCTCATTGTGAACCTCACGCCTGCAGGAGCGCCGGCAGGAGGATGGCCCTGCACGACTAGAAACGGTGATCTGTAGTACTCAATGGTGCAGTTGAAGTCCTCAAACTTGAAGATCAAGGATCCCGAGTGCTTCGTGATTGGAGTCCCATTGACCTCGTAGATTGAAGACTTCTTAGAAACAGCAGTAGAGAGCATGCAGAGGAGGGATTCCCACTGGTTCCTCCCCAACGAGTCGCCGGCGAATACGAGGCGCTTGTTCCTCAGCTTTTCCAACATCTTAGCTGCTTCAAATCTTCCCTCCGGATAAAGAGACAAAGAACAGCATATGAGTTCGTTAGTTCAGTACAATTGGTTATAATTAACCTCCATAAAAGGAAATATCATATCAAACATAATTAAATGCTATATTAAGATAAGCCATCAGGTTAGAAAATACAAACAATAGTAATATAACTGAAAGCTGAACTTCAATAGCATTAACATAACGCAGAATTATACTATATTAGTGTTATCCTATAATGTTCATCTAAGGATATATAGCATTGTACTTGCGAGTATGTTCAGCCAAAAAGTAAAATCTACGGTCTTCTTCTTCTTTTTTTCTTTTTTTCTTTTTTTGGGTCCCCTGAATGATTACAAAGTAATAAGAGCTTAAAAAAAATATTAATAAAATAAATAAAATAATTCAATAAAAACGAAAAAGAACAAAAACCCTATTTACTTTGTAGTTTCTACTGATAATAGATGTACACCATAATGTCCATCATACACAAGGAACAGATTAAAAAAAAAAAAAAAACAACAACAACAACTACATAGCCAAAAGCTCAGAAATAAGCTCAAATTTATGGAAGCAACATACCTAGCCCCAAAAAATTAGGGGGAAAAGAAAACAAAAACAAAAAATTGGGTGAAGGGAAAAAGAAGAACAAAACAAAGACAAAAAGTTTGCTACTTGCGAAAAAAACCCAGCAATCTTCATTATCATATTACTCTTTGGGTCTTAATAAGGCAACGTTTTCATCTTTCAGAAACCAAGCAAACGACATTGAAAATCTCAGTCAAGAAAAAAAAGAGAGAGAGAGAGACCTTGGCAAGTTGCAATCTTTAGGCTGCCAACGCCATTTGGTGTAGAAACCATCAGGTCTTCCATTCTCGGAGCACTGAAAACCCGGGTCCGCAAAAAGGCAATTCCGTGACTCGTACAGCGGATAACTCTCGTCCCAAACCCAACTTCCTTCGAATATGTTACAATCACCACTGCCTTCATCAAGAAATCCCAGCCGTTCATTCTCGCAGATTGTCGTTTTTGTCGTTGTCGTTGAAGAAGAAGAAGAAGAAGACGACGACAATGGCGATAAGGAGGGATCATGCAATCCCAGCCAAGTCCCACTGGAGCGAAGCTTTATGGAAACGGTTTCGAAGTCCAAGTAGAAGAATGAAGTGATGAAGAGAACGGAGACCAAGAATAATCCGAGGACTCCAAGAGAATGTTCTAGAGAGTTTATTCGCTTGAGTTTCTTGAGCAACTCCAAGTGGGTTATTGCTTCTTCTTTTTCCTCTGAAGCAGTAGGACTACTCTTCGCCATTGCTTGAGTTTGAGAAAATGGAGGAAAAAAGAAAGGCTCCGACTTTGAGTTCAGAAAGATGGGTTCTTTCTTACTTGTTTCTTGGCATTTATGGCTGAAAATGAAAACCCAGTTTGTGAATGATGATGGGTTTTTGGATCGTTTCAAAAGGATTCAAAGCTTATTTGGTTGATTTTAGAGAGAGAGAGAAAGGGAGAAGACAGCATGATTGGAAAGGCCAAAAATGGCTGACGAAGCAAAGAAAAGGGAAGGGGATTGGAATTTAATTCAAATTTGGAAAAACGTTTCTGCTTTTCTTTGGTTCCATCAGAGAGTTAAAAGGATGTGGGTGTGGGTCTATGTTTTGAATAAGAATATCACAATCTTTTTCAAAACCCCAAAAAAAAAAAAAAAATCAGGAAAATTCCCTATAGGTTAGGAACCAAATAACTAGCAAATATTGCTCTGTAAATACTGGATTAGGAATTTAGGAGAGAATCAGGAGTTGGTTTGTTGGCAATTTATTGAAAAGAAATAAACAAATAACCAAACTATAAACCAAACTAAACCAAACCAAGAGTCATTAATGAGGATGAATAAAAGGTGAAAGACAAAAGATTTTTGAGGAGGTGGGTTTTGTGTACTTTGTTGGTCCCTGTGGTCGTGCAGACGTGGGCTATAACTGCTCTCACGAGTCTGGAATCTCTGGCAACAAAAATAAATAAATAAATAAAAAGGGAGAAAAATAAAAAATACACTAGCGAAGACAAATATGGTGATGGTGCGGGTTATTCGGCGACTATATATCATGCATTAGTATGGATTATAGATCATTTTTGAATTGAAAAAAGAAAGTGATCAAGTATTTGAAATTAACCCAATATCTTTTAATTAGATAAACTGAGTTTGATATCTCTATCTTAAACAGTATATTGAATTGTTGATTTTTTTTTTTAAATCAGAATTCTGCGGTGAGAGGTAAGGCAGTGACCATTGGATCATTTTTCTCATTTTGAACAAAAGAATGATGCAATTTAAAAAATAAAAATAAAAATAAACTAATCTTAATCTCTCTTTTTAATTAAAAGTATAAATATGGAGATCAGAGAATTAGGGGGAAAAAAAAGGAGAGAGAGATTGGTAGGGACGAGATCTCGTTCATTTCGCTGATTCGAGTTTAAAATTCGAGTTTTATTACAGTAAAAAACTCTCACAAATAATTACATCTAATTTTTTTATTACAATAAAAAACTCTCATATAAAATCACATCTCAACTCGAATTAAAAACTCAAATAAGTGAAATGAAACGAAATGAACAGGACTAATATATTTCTTTATTTATTATTCCGTTGTTGCTCCCTTTCTATTGCGCTTATTTACACTGGGTAGTCCTAGTCAGCTTTTGGAGTTATTCGCCGCAAAACACAAATTTGACCGTTGAATTTATATGAAAACAAGTTTTCTAGATAAATAAAAAGGGGATTTCCTTTATGAAAATTTCTCGGTTTTCTAGTGCTTTCGGTGGTTAATATACTATAGACAAGAGCATCTCCAACTATAGTAATTATTTTATTTTTTAATTAAAATGGTTAACAATTTAAATATTTTTAACATTTTCACACTAAGTTAATGTAATTAGCTATTTACTTAGTAAAAAGCAGTTAGCTATTTATTTTTTAAAATTATAATAAATATAAAGGTTATTTTTTATTTAATAAAATTATTTATATTTTAAATTTAATAAATATTAAAAAAATCTATACTTAGTTAATAGATAGTATAATTAGGGTAGATCATCCAAAAGTTACTTACTAGTTATTTTAACTAAAATTTAACTAAAATTTAAAAAGTTTCTTTATAGATACTTAATAAGACATGTCTTATCTACAAACGTTTTATTTTATTTTTTTAATTCGGTATCTTTTTAAATTCAAGTGTTTTTTTAATTTCAAGTGTTCTCTTATCTTATCTTATTCCGTTTATCCTAAAGATCATTTACTCTACCAATGCAAATTGATTCTTGAAACAAAGTGAAATAGTCAAGAGAATTTTTCACCCAAAAACAAAAAACAAAAAACAAAAAAAAACTACTGATTGGACACCCTTGGATTCAAGAATTCATGGACTTGGGGTGGATAAATCACAAGTATTTGGGGCTACCATTGTTGCCGGCAAAGATAAACAGAGCACTTTCAGTTTCTTCATAAAAAGGGTATATAAGAAACTACAAAGATGTTTGGTTCATGAATTAGAATCATGTTATTAGAATTATTTTTAATTTACGTATATTTTTTATGAGAGAAAATACTATAGTAAATCATGAATCATAATTTAAATCATGATTTGAATCCTCTAACCAAACATTCTCAAGGAAAAGCTCTTCCGGATTGTTTTGTTCCAGGAGGCATCACTTTGGTCTTTTTTTCCTGATTCGGCTAGTAAATGAAAAGAGAGGTATATATGGTACGTTTTATATAAAATAAAAAAAAATCAAATTCAATAAAAAAAACCCCCCAGATTGAAAGTTTTTTTTTTTTTTTTTTTTTTTTCAAATATCTCCCGGGATTCTTGAAAGTTTCAGCAAAAAGGTTTTTTTTTTTTTTCCCCTCACAACGAGACCCGTTTGTGAATACTGTTTTTCTGGCAAAATTTTTGGTCTCCTGCTCTAATTTTTCATCCTTTTTTTTTTTTTTTTGTTCGTTATTGCTGAATTATTGCATAAATATAAGATAAGGAGAATACATGCGCGTTTGACTAGCTGAGCACGAATTTGGAGCCTCTGCAGGTATTTTCCGCATGTTCCATGAGGAGATTATTGACAATTATATATGTGACAAAAGAAACTAAAACAATAATGGGACCCCAAAATCTTCACCGAATATGATTAGCGAAAAAAAAAAAAAAAAAATCTTCGCCGAATATAATTGACAAGGCGACCCAAAAAGAACAAGAATGACATAATTAATTAAATTTGTAGAGGATTTTCTTTGGTAGGTGACTTGTATGAGTAGTGTTAATCCATGTTGTTTCAACAACTCAAATTATTATTTAAGATTTAAATATTAGTTCATTATTTAAATTAGCGTTTAAGAGAGAAAAATTTAAGAATGATTTTAAAATTCATCTCCCCCCTAAATTTTAACATTTTAAATTGTTGTCAATAGTCCAATAGTTTCAGATTTTATTTTTTTTCTCTCTTTAATTTTAATCTTAAAGTTGTCATAACTTCTTCGTTTTAATTCTAATTAAGATGATTTATATTTTTTAATGTCATTTATAAGGAGGTTTTATAAGATTTATTACAAAACTCTAATGACAGTTTTCAATGCTTTATCCAAATACAGTTCAGATTTTATTCTCAATTCAAATTATAATTTATTTGCATATCCAAACAACAGCTCGGATCACAGTTTAAATCACCGCAGTTCAGATTCTACAGTTCTAACAAAAATATTTAATTCTCTACAATTTGAGTTGTTGAACCAAACAAATCATTAATTTTAAATTGTTAGATCATATCAAGATTATATCAGTATTGAATAAACAATTTTCAATGCAATAAAATATTTGAGAAGGATTAATGAAGCCTAGAAGGTCAACTTCCCCCGTATTCATTTCTAGACTTCTAAACAGCGCACGTTTTCCCTTCTCTTATGTGAATAATTCTTTCAAATCTTTCGCGTGCATATACAGCTTTTGAAGAATTTTTAAAAATATTTATTTTCCTTTTTTTTAAAATAACTTTGTGTTAATCAAATACATACATGAGACAAATACACGTAAATGTAGTTAAGATATATATATATATATAGATATTAAAATAAAAATTGACTATCGAGAATCTCTTACTTTTCAACCGTCATATTTGTATTAAAATTTATTTACTTTTACAATATGATGTGATTTTGATCAGATATAACGGTTAAACACTGAGACTATCTGTAGGACGAACTATCAGAGAAACTCTCATCTTTCGCGTGTATATATAGCTCTTGAAGATTTTTTTAAATATTTATTTTTCTTTTTTTAAAATAATTTTGTGTTAATCAAATACATACACGAGACAAATACACATAAACGTTGTTAAGATTATTAGAATTCCACATTGGCTGAAAATATTGGCATGATTCACTTAATAAGGTGAGGACAATCCTCCCATAATAAGTCGGTTTTGTTAGGTTGAGTTAAGTCTAATATCATTTGATTTCTGTAAAAAAGATATATATTCATTGGATTAATTGAGGTGTTTCGCGGACCAAGTAATGAGATGGCATGGAATTGTAAGCCTCGCACTTCTCACCCACGATCCCAAAAAGTCTCTTCTTAGTCAAGACCAATAAATTAGTGGCCATTGATGCCACAATATGAACGAAAAACTGCAAAATGAGAGCTTTCCCACTTGACAAGAGGCCGACAAAGCAATCAAACATGTGTGTTATCAAATGTTGTTGATCAGTACTTGTTAGGTTCAGCGTTGCCGCCAATTCAATTTTGCTGGTCCCTTTGCAGACCCATTTGGGGCTTCCTAAAAATGCTTCTTAATTTAAACAAAATCACATTATAATAGTGATTATATATATATATATATGCAGAGAGTTAATAATACCTGGGTTTTCACAATGTCCAGTTCCAATGCCGTAATTTAATTTTTGGCTCGTTATGTGAATTCGCTATTAATGTGGACTCAAATCATGGCTGGAGAAGCGTTTAGGAGTGTGGTGTGGTGGATCATGAGGCCTAAATGGACTTTTTATCCCATTTGGACGAGATTAGATTTAGACAAATCAAAGAGGAATGATACTCATTGAAAGGGCGTAAAGATTTATACTTTTTTTTTTTTTGACATTCAAGATTTATATTGAGCGTTATATATCAATTTTTTTAATGAACACAAATAATTCACCAGCAGATCAACCATAAAGATTTCAGGAGAGAATTATATATCAACGTACAAAGTGTGAAGTTCCAAAAAATTTCATAAATTAAAGAAGTGAAATAAAGATGAGAAACGCCCTCTTTTCTCTAAAACTTATTTGATTAAAAGTGGATGAGGATAAGGAGGAAAATAACATAATTAGTAAAATGATTAATAAATTATAACATATTTTTAAAAAATAATAAATAAGGAAGGAAATAACATAATTGGTAAGGTGATTAGTAAATTATAATATATTTTTTAAAAATAATAAATTCTAACATAATTTGATATTTTAAGTTTTAAATATTATTAAAAATCTAAAAAATACCCCTAAACATCCTTTTTCACATCACTCCTCCCCTCTAAACATCTATAATTAAAAAAAATAGTAAATTATAGCATATTTTTTAAAATAAGTAGATTATAGTCAAGTCTATCATGACCGGGACTGGCAGCCGGCAGCCGACTCTTGCGATCATCTCCAGCCAGAGGTAACCGTTTTTCGGCGACCAGTGATTGTGTTTCCGACGACCGTTTGATATTGTATTTTATAGTAAATATTGTATTTACTATCATTTAATAACGTATTTATTAGTAAATACCATATTTACCCGAAAAGCCGACCACCGACTCCGG